GGGGGGGGGGAGGCAAACATCGATGTGAAAGAGAAACATCAATGGGTTGCCTCCCATACATGCCCTAACCAGGGATCGAACTCACAACCTTTAGGTGTATGGGACAATGTTCCAACCAACTGAGCCACCCAGCAGGGCTCAACAGTTATTTTTAAAAGGGAGAAACTTAGATATAGAAACATGGAGAATGCTGGGTCCTTGTGTGTAAATTAAGACTACCTATTGTCAGCCTTGCTGGAATGGGACCAAAAGGTACCCAGTTCAATTCCTGGTCAGGGCATATACCTGAGTTGCGGGTCTGATCCCCAGTCAGGGAGGACAGGGAAGACAACCGATTAATGTTTCTCTCTCACATCGANTCCATCAACATCTGGCACAGCCCCTATCACATGATATGTTCCAGACATGAGGTAGCAAGAGAAGGCTGTTTGCCATCGTAAAGCGCTAAACTGAGCTTTAAGAGGGGTTTTTTTTTAATGCTAAAATTTATCTCAAATACACGAGGAAAAAAGTATACAGACTTTTAAAAAAGGATAATTTTTAAGTTGGTATCTTTTTTCTTAAAGATAATACATCATTCCAGTTACTTTAAAAATCTTCCCGTAGCCTTGGCCGGGTGGCTCCGTTGGCTGGAGCACGGTCCTCTGCACCGAAGGGGCCCCGGTTTGACGCCGGGTCAGGGCGAGGACGGGAAGCAGCCCATGGATGTTTCTCTCTCACGTGGATGTTTCTCCCTCTTTCTTCCTCTCTCCCTCCCTCTCTCTCTAAAAATCAATAAACATATCCTCAGGTGAGGATTAAAAAAATAAATAAAAGAGAAAAACTTGAGCTAAAATATTTTTTTTAATTTTAGTTTTTAAAAAAAGACTACCTTTGCCAGTCCCAGAAAGTCACATGCTTGGAATTTTCTAAAAGTAGCTGAGTTGTCATCCACAAACTCTCTAAACCTCCTTAGCCTCCCTTATGAAGCTCAGCACATAACTTTTAAAAAACAACAGCAAGGCTAAAGATGCACAATTTGTCAGGGGAATTTCCAACTGGCTTATGAGGGCCTGACCCATGACAATGGGCTCATCAGTCCCACACGATAACTAACCAGCTAGGTTATCAACAGACCATCCATCACCAGAGCATTCAGTGACCATTCTGAGGTGAAATCACTGTTCTAAGCTGTCTCCAGTTTTAGGACTTGTTTGAGAGCTGCAGGTGAGGAGTGAACAAAACTCCTTCCTAAGGCTCTCAGTCTGTTGTGTCTCTGGGAAAAGGTCTTTGTGCGCGCACACACACACAATCACAATTTTTACATGTCAAATAAGACCAGGTGCTAAAAGGTTTCTGATAACCAGTGGTAATCACATTTAAAATGCTAGCTAGCATTTGTTTAGTCCTAGACTAATACATTTACAAAAATATATATATTTTTTGTATTTCTATGGCACTATTAGGTCAAAATACTAGAAATAAGAACTCTGTACATTTTTCACTGATTTGAAACAGAATTTAAGAACACATTTCTCAATTTCCTTCATGCCTGGAATGTTGCCAGTTTCCTCATTGTAAACTCTAATTCCCAAGTAAGCACCTAAAAAGCCAATCTCAGACCCAAGAAGGAAGCAAGAGTAGACTCACACTAAACCAGCATTTCTCTGTAACTGCTTTCTCAGCCACACGAACTCACGGTAGCGGCGACGCACACAGGACGTCTTGGCAGTAAAGGCCTTGCTATTGGTCTACAGGAGAAAGTACATGAAAGGAGTTAGTGGGGAAAAGCCAAGATCACATGAACCCCATCAGCATTCTCACTGAGGATATAAACTACTAGGCACAGTCCTGATCAGGGGCTCCAACTAGAGCAAGGTGCCACCAGGCAGCCTGCAAGCAACTCTCAGGCATACCCCAAGCTCTTGTTCCTTTCCTCCCTCCTTTTCTTCTGTCTCAGGCCTGTCAAAGACATCCACAAACAGGATGTCAGCACTATCCCTTAGCCCTGGAGAATGTTGATCCCAATACAGAAGTTTGATGCACTTACATGGAGAAAAATCTTATAATCCACATAAGAATTCCAGGAGCCCTCATTCTGCACACGGGGGTCCTGAACACGCACAGTGATCACCTCCTAGAGATAGGAAATGCTCTTTTAGCTTCAACTCAGCCATACAGTAAGGCAGCTTTGACAGACAGGTTGCCAGATTTTTCCAAACACCAACTTCCATGCACTTGTTCATTTGTTCATTAAGTTCAACAAATACTTATTGACCCATTATGTGTCAGGCACTGTTCTAAGACACTGAGGGTAGACCATGACCAAGAGACAAAAATCCTTGCCCTCACTCTAAGAAACAGAAGTTAGTCGAAATGGAACCTCATTTCCCAGCAATGCCTTTACTACTGATTTCCTTCTCCTGGCTTTATTTTGAGCTCATCAGAACCACCAAGGTATTACTGTCAGAACACCACAAAGCAATGATTTGCATCGTCTCCCAAATCCTCTCAAACTTTTACCCACCTGTTCTGTGGAGACTACATGCTTACCTCCTGCTCTTGGCTCTCCAACATCCTACATCAAAAGCCCATTGGAAGAAAACATCTGATGAGGGGCAAATAACAAGGGAACAATCATAGTTAGTGTGCTTCCATTCTTCTTATTCTTTACCAGGCAAAACCCTGAAAATTTTTAATTGACCTTCCTGGGGAAACCCAGGCACCTTTTTTCATTCTTGCGTAAAACTTAAGAGGAAGCCAAAAAAGTCCACCACTGTAGCTCCACGGCAGCTACAAGCCCTGGGGAATTTGCCTCACTTCTCAGATTATGGCCAAGACCCACCTCTAACCAGAGCATGTTTGGGTCTGTGCGGTGTTCACCTCAAGCAGCCAGAACAGTGAGGCTCCACTGTAAACCCTTTCTGCCTGAAGACTGCAGGCAAAGCAGTGTCTTGTGGGGGCACACAGCACAGCTGTGCAAGTGAGTCTAACATCATAACATCGCCCCCTCCCGGCTGTTCAGAGACAGCCAAGCCCCCCAAAACACCAATGCTCTTAAGTCTCTCTTTGTCTTGCTAACCACAGTCACCTCCCCAGAGGTAAATCAGAGCTAGAGAGCAACAGGAGCACCTGAATGGGTTGCCCAGTTTTGACCTTCCCTTTCTAAACTGTTCTCCAAAACCCAAGCCAGTGGTTCTAATTATTTCCTTGCTAGGCATGTACCTCTGCCCAAACACCCCGCAGCTGCACAGGTCGATTCAGGATGTTTTCCGCTCCTTTGTAAAGATTCATTAAAGCCTAAGCTGCTGATTTCCCCCAATGTGGCAGTTTACATGTGCAGCGACATCACCCACTCCAACAAGGGGACCATGAAGGTTGCAGCACAGGGTTACTCAAGTCTAAAGAGGCCCATGATGTCACCTTCTGTTAAAATACAGCACTAATCTTATTACTCCTAGAACCACTCCAACAGCATCCACCCTGGCTGCCACCTGCACCCCCTTCTCCTCTCTTAAGAGCAGAACAATAAGGTTTAATTTCCCTTTTCAATTTACCTTGAAATGAAAACTGACTTCAGCCAATATGTACTGCCAACAAATGATCCTGGCTGGCTCCTGGGAAGATAAGACTGTCTCTAAGATCTCCCTCTCCTCCCCCTATGCCCATTCACACCCACTCATTTTTACAGTCCCACAATTAATTTTAAACACATTCCCTTATTAGTTCTGCCTTACCATTCAAAGAGTGTGTAATGAGTTTCCTTCTATCTTATGTTTTGCTAACACAAGGCAAATGTTTCGAGAAGGGGAACTCATTTACACCACAAAATTAGCAGAGCAAACAGCTTTTCCAATTCTTTACAGTATACCAGAAGGTCTCTCCACACACAGACACTGTACTCAGAGGCAAAGCTGCAGGGTAGGTGACAAAATTGGGCTACACCATCAAGCAAACCGGAGGTTTTATGATTGCAACACCATCTTAAACAGTATTCTTGCTGACAACTTGATTTTTCATCTGATGCAGTCACCATCGCCAAGGGGTTCTGAACTGAAAGGCAATTCCAATGCCATAACAACTGATGTATAAAATCCCAATGTAAGTAGTCAAATGGCTGTGACCAAAAGGAGCAGGCCGACTCACTGTGAACAATTAATCTCCTCAGATTCAAAAATACTTCTCTTTTCTTTTCAGGCATTTGGTAAATTGCCAGCACAGGAGTAGAGTTAAAAGATTCTGAAGTGTCTTCACAAAAGTAACAATAGGAAAGACGATGCCATGGAAATCATAGTCATCCACTAGCTCAGTAAAGCTCACACATCTCCTGTGCCTTGAAAGGTTTGCCAAATTAAGGACTAATTTAGTAACTAAATGCTCATCACTCTCTTGGACTCAAGAAGAGTTTGCCTAGGGCTCTCTGCACCATCTCCATGTGCAAGTTCCTCTCCTTTCCTTCGGAGCTAATACCACTTAGAAACAAATAGCTATAAACTGGCTTTTAAAAAAACCCTAGGACCCCAAAGACGCTATGTACTTAAATCTAAATTGAAGGGCACTAAGAAAGTTTCAGATGTAACTTCCCTTAAAAATACTGGAACAGCCTCTATAACTTGTTGCCTAAGCCCATTTCTTCTAGGAATTGCTTCTTCTACCTCTGTGATTTACCAAATAAATGTTCTCCTATAAAAAATAAAAACAAACTGGAACAAATACAAAAACCTAGACTTCAAGTAATAATTTCTAGTAACTACTATTCTCCATTAGCTTCCTCCCCATAATGCCACTCCTCAGAAGGAAATGAAGCTCAGTTCTTCGGAGGGGAAGGAGGAAGTTAACGTTAGCTCCATGATCTGCAAGATGGATCTATGTCATCCAAATAAGGATAGAGTCAGCGAACTCACCTACTTACGCAATTCAACGCTAACTCCATTTCCTGGGCCCTTTCAATCACATCTGAAGTTTCCTTTACTTTCTCCACCTGTACAAGCACCAATAACTGCAGGGAAAACCCACTTGTTTGCTGTTTACAAAGGAAATCCTTTGTAAAGCTTTCTAATGTCATAAAAAATTCAAGGCTTTAGCTCCACCATTTTCACCCTCATTTAAACTACTTCAAGCGATAGGTTAAAAAAACCAATCAGGTGATAAAAGTATACTGAGCTACAGAGACTTCCATCCCTTCTTGCTCACTCTTGAGCCACATGGCAACTCAAAAATCTCTTCTTCCTAAACACCCACAGGTGGCAGAGGAAGCTTCCCCTGTCTGAACAACTTCCCTGTGTTCTCAACCAACCAGCTAAGCTCCATTCTTTTGTCCCTCTGTAATTTGCCATTCCTTCCACTTGGAAAGTAAGTCACAAAGGCAACAATCCAGCGCAACAGCCTCCTGTGCCCCCATAAAATACTTGCCAATACTCATGGTCTTAGACGTTTCATAAATGTCCCTAAACTGTTTGACTCTGACCACTCCCCCTCCATTCTTAACCAACTAGGAGCAAAGGGCTACCTGGTCCTTCTCCTTTCCCTATTAAGCTTGGGGGTTGGGAAGGAAAGATGCTCTATACTCCTTTAAAAATAAATAGAAGGCCCTGGCAGTGCAGGCTAGCTCAGTTGGTTAGAGCATAGTCCTAACATGCAAAGGTTGCGGGTTCCAACCCCGGTCAGGGCACACACCAGCATTAACCAGTGAATGCATAAATAAGTGGAACAACAAAACTCACTCAATATCTCTCTCTCTCTCTCCCCCCCCCCCTC